TTTAACTATAGTGAAGAGTATATTAATATAGAAGCAAGTAAATGATCATGGGTTAAATAAATAAATTTATTTAAATTTAATAAAAGAAAAAATTTTAAATTTAAAGTTAAAAAATATTTTTAATAGAAAATATACTATTTAAAAATTTTTTATTAAATAAAGCTATATTAATCCAAACATATTTAATTTAATTAGTTAAATCAAAGCAGTTATAATTGAACATGCTTTGAAATAGATTTAAAATATACCAAATCAATTTCAATTGTTTTGCATCGAATCTAATTTGAATTTAGATTTGAATCAAATCAAATCGAATCAAACTGTTATGGTTTCAAATCGAATTGGATCAGTTTAAAACAAATCAGATTCATATTCGATTCATATTTATAAAAACTGAATTGAATCAAATCTAGTTAAAATCTTATCTGATTCGATCCATTGTGATCACTACTTAATGGAATATATTAACAACAAGTTTTTCTAAGAATTAGAACAGTAAAAAAATAAAATAGCAGATTTAAAAAAGAAAATCGATTAGTTCAAATCTGTGAAATTTGAACTTGATCCTATAGTTGTTATAGAATTTAGAAAAGTTGATATATCAGAATCCAAAAGTTTGTTGAGTTTAGGAAATTTTATTTAGAAGGTATAGTAAAGAACCAAAACTAGTTACTGAAGATAAGCTGAAACCAAAAGAAGTAAGAGTAAAATAAAGATCTTAATGAAAATCATTTCCAACAAATATAAATTGAGAATAGATAAAGTTTTTTTGAGTGATATAAATAAAAAAATATTACAAAAGTTGATACCCGAATTAATAAAATCCATGATCCTATATTTTAATTCCTCATAAAAGTAAATAAATAAATGATTAGGTACATTATATCATTATTAGAGAAAAAGATATCAGAAGGTAGAAACTGGAAAACTGAAAGTGAACAATCATCATTTATATGCAAATAGCCAATTAAACAAAATAAAATTAATAATATTCTACATTTATACTAACTTCAAGTATTAATTTTTAATGAATAATTAAGAAAAAGGCATGAAGAATTAAAAGTGTACAGTTGCTTATTGAACAAAAGTTAAAGAAAGTTATTAAATATCAGGATGAATTAACTGATGTAATTAAAGAAACAAAGGTGCATTCACCTGAAGAAAGTGAAACTGATCCGGGAAACCTCACTAAAAAAAAAATAAATATACTGTATATGATTATAGTTGACATTCTGAAGAGATATTTTTTAGCAAAATATTTTATTTTGAATAATTACAATATTAATCATAATTATTTATAGTTAAAGGATTTGTTGAAATATTTGAATGAACATTTGAAATCAATTCAAACATTCCAGCCAACTCATAAATGATATTATAATAATTCATATTTTTATGATATGATACTACCAGAAAATTTGTCAAATTGAGTATACAGTTTGAAAGAAATTTTGAAACATGAACAAGAAAAAGAGATAGGAAAAGGTAAAAAATCAGCAGATAAATCCAAAAGATGAAAAATTACTAAATATAAGGAATCATTAATGTATTTAGAGAGTGAGGAACAAATTGGGAAAAGTGCATGAATAGATGAAATTCGGGAATAGTTAGATTAGAAGAAAAAAGTAAAAAATCTCAGAAAATATTTAGCAAGGTAAAATAAATTGGGGTTAGTTTTAAAAGAGTCAAGTCGAGATTTTTAAAGAGAAAAGAAAAGCAAGTGAAAAGGAGGAAGAGAAGAAAAAGAAAAATAACAAATAATTTAGTCAATTGATTTTGTAATTTTTAATAAATTTCATGAAATTTAATTTTTCGCCATAACAATTTTTTGCCAAATTTTTTTCTACAATAATTTTTTTGTCAAAATTTTTTTCTATAGTAATTTTTTTGTCAAATTTTTTGCTACAGTATCAATTTTTTTGTCAAATTTTTTGCTACAGTATTAATTTTTAACCATAGTATCAATTTTTTTGTTAAATTTTTGGCTACAGTATGCAAAAAAATTTTTTGTTATAGTATATAAAAAATTTTTTTATCACAATATTACTGGATTTTGTATTGAATTTTTTTTTATAATATATTAATATTTTTTTACTAATATTTTTAATACTGAGTGATAGCAATTGTAAATAATTTGTCAATCTTTTTATTATTAATTTTATCAAATTTAGCAATAATTCAGCAGCCGAATAACATAATTTTGACTAGTGTCATATATAAGAGCAGAGTTAGTAGTAATCATAATTATATTCCTGATAGTCCCAATCAATAGTACTATTGAGATTTGTATAGATAGTCAAGCATATATATTTAAATAGAAAATAATTAAAAAAGAAGATCCAAGAAAAACTTGTAAAAGATGATTAAAGGAGAAAAACTAGTTCCTTTGAATATAAATAAATAAGTTAATTCAAAGAAAAGCATAGATCTAAAGCTTACTAAAGACAAAGTACATACAAATGATTCTTATAATAAAGAAATAGATGCTTTAATCAAAGAAGCCTTAAAACTTCTATCAATCAAATGAAATAATCTTACCTTATATAAAATTCTCACAGAAGTTAAGTAGCAGGATATAACTATAAATAATTCAATAAAACAGTTTATTAAAAATATTAATAACAAAACAATGGTTATTATTGAACAAAACAAAACAGGACAGAGAAAAAGTGATGCCATCAAATTTTAAATAAACAAGATCATACATGGGATCTAATGTAAGAAAGAATAAAAGATAAATATATATGAGACATATCTTTCAAGCAAACTTAATAGAGAAGCTTTTTTATCAAATTGATCAATAATAAACTATCAATTTTAAGTAAACTGGCTATTAGAAAACCTGATTTATATAAGTAAGTTAAATATATCACATGTAATTATTAAGATGAAACAATAAAATATTTGTTAGAATGTTTAGCCTATAAAAATGAAGTATAAAAAATATGAAAGAAGGGAATAGATAAAACTCTTAAAAACTTCAAAAGATTTTTGCAAGAAAGGAAAAAGAAAGTTGAAGAGAAAAACTTCAGATTAATTATAAATAATTGAGAAGAACTAGAGAAGTTAGACAAATAGATCTCTGAATTGATAGAACAAATTTTAAAAACTAGTTAGGATATCTTAAGCTTTTGTGCTGATTTTATAAAAAGTGATTTTATTTAACAAATGATTGATCTGAAATATTATGAAAAATGAATAGAAAAAGAAGCAAGAAGATAGATGTTAAAAATACAAAAAAGAGGCTATAACCAAGTCTAAAAAAGAATTTGGAATGTAAGATGTGTAAAAATAATTGAGTAGAAACAGATATAGGAGATCTGTAGAGAATATAAGATTAAGAGATCTCAGTATTCTCCAAGCCAGAAAACTATATCTCTGATAAAAAAGGAATTATCATTGAAAGAAGAATACTTAAAAGATGGAAATCTCAAGAAGATTGTGACAAAAAGAGTAGAATATAAAATGAAGTGATTAGGATTTTAAGTTTAGTCAGAACCTTATAAAGTATTCTACAATAGTGACCTGCAGGTTATTAAGTTAGCAGTTGGAAAGGTTTTTACTTGAACTACTAATAGAACAATAAATTACTTCTGAAGTTGTACTTAAAGTTTTAGAAAATTCATAAAATAGAGATGAGTGAGTTAGGTAGAGATTCAGTTTTAGCAAAATATTTTAAATATAAAGTATACAAATGTTTAATAAAGTACACATACCTAACCTAGCTAAGAGTTTTAAAAAAAAAAAAAAATTAACAAAATTTTAATAATTTGAGATAAATAATAAAATTTTTTTAAAACAAACAAAAAAAAATTTTTTTAATTATAACATTATATAATAGAATAATTTAAAATTCAAAAGAATAAGATTTTATTATGATATTATATCTTTATTACTATTTTTTTTATAAATATATTTGATTTATTATATATAAACAATTAAGAATTTTTTTTTTTTTTTTTTTGAAAATTAAAAATTTTATCTTGATTACTTTTGATTTGAAACTATTGCTTTAAGTCAAATAAAAAATTAAAAAAATAATAAAACGAAAAAGATATTTTGCAATATTTATTAATTACAAAATATAAAAGTTTTTATATTAAATATACAGTATAATCATCCACCGCCGATCACCGATCATTATACAGTATATAAACAATCCGAGTGTCACTTATCCAATCAGTTTTTTTAACGATGAAATTGATACCGGAACTTATTGAACGATCAACAAGTTTTATTAATACCTTAAAGGATCGTGAACTAGACTTGCGGGGTATCCTTTAGAAGAGGATGGGTTTGGTGATTATTTGGTTACTTTTTAGTACCTGTGAAGTGGTGGGATGGTATACCGCTCGTGGGATTGTTCGAACGAACTTGAGAACGGTAAAATATTAGTTTCATAAAAGGGCATGGGTGTGACAGGGTAGATCTATTATAATTATAAGTTATTTGGTGAACCATCTTATTGATACATAGCGTTTCTGTTCTTCGGCGGAAGTTTAATAATAAATAAGGAAAATTTTGCTTTAATAATTTTCACTTTGAAACCGGGCAGTGATCAACTATTTGTGACATTGCCCTGTCAAATTTCATATTTACTTTCGTTGAATTTGTTTATTGTGGTACTCCTATTGTTCCCTGACTCGGAATTCTTTCCTTTTTTTTTTTTTTTTTTTTTGTCTTTTCACTCTATACTATAATAGGCAACAAGATTACGGCAATAGAAAATCTTGGCGTGACAAAGGCGAGCGTGATAAGATATTTATTTATTAACAACACCTTACCATCCATGTTTTATTAATCAACATGGAATTTCATCTATCCAGGACCAGAATGATACCCTCGATCTAACAGATAATGACATTAGAGTCTTAGGGAATTTTCCGCTGTTAGGACGCGTTAAAACTTTGTTACTTGCTAACAATCGTATTGCCCGTATCGATGATCAGATATCCGAATTTCTGCCTAATTTAAGAACCTTGGTTCTCACCAATAATAACATGTCCGAAATAGCGGATTTGGAACCTTTGACTGGGCTTAAGAGGCTACAATATTTGAGTTTATTAGATAATCCCGTTACCAGAAAACAGTGGTACAGGAGTTGGATCATTTGGAAGATACCAAGTATTAGAGTGCTGGATTTCAAAAGGGTGCGAGATGCAGTATGTATTGCAATACTTTTTCTCGTGTTTATTGGTTTTAATGTGGTTTTAAGGTTTTTTGTTGTGATGACAGGAACGTAAAGAGGCTGTCCAGTTGTTTGTAACGGCAAATGGTGAACATACCTCACTTGCAAAATCAATTTCAGAAACGATATCCAAGACGTTTGAACCTGGTGAAGGGTTGGTGGCAGGTAGTAATTTGCCAAAATCTAACCTGCCCACTCTTGGAATATCTGCGGAAGAACAAGCAAAAATTAGGGTTTGTTTTTATTCTGGTGTCGTTTCTTCATCACTCAACGTCTCACATTTACTCCATTTCTTTAAAAAAAAAAAAAAAAAAAAAATAGGAAGCAATTCGAAATGCAAAAACTCTCGAGGAAGTTACTAGGCTTGAGAAATTATTGCAATCTGGTCATATTCCCGGATCAGGCAGGCAACTTGGCGATAATCTACAGCACGGCGAGGAAGAGATGGATGACTAAAATAGATATTACAGACATCGCCTTGGATATCGTTTGAATTACCAAAGAATGTCAACTATGGCTTTTGAATTGCCGTCGTTTCTATTAAAGCATATACAACCAATTCCTTTGTGCCCGTGTCACTTTCGTAACTATAGTAGCAATCCTGTTACAAATAAAATGTTGCATGGTTTAGTTAAAATTTTTTACCTGTCTCATTTCAAGTTAATGATTATATTTGATTGGAACTTTAAGTGCCCGAAAGGTTATATGAATTTATACTATTCAAAATGCAAACAATATAATATTCTATGTAGCACGAATTATACTTGGTCGAGGAAAAAAGCGATTGCTTGTAGTTGTTAAAAGGTAATTATCTGCTATTTGATAATTACTATTTGGAATTCAAAGGATTATACCGTGTATATAGCATAAAGTTTAATTTTACTTGTCTAATTGCTATAAGGTTATATTCAAAGATAAGTTCTTTTAAAAATACAAAATGAGATATATTGTATATATTGCTAATTTAATTAATTCCTATCTTTTATAATTTAAATACACTGTATACATTTGTCATACTATATAATGTGTTAGGTCAAACCATTTATTGGTTTTATAATATACAGTGTGCATATTATATACTGTATTATCTTCATCCTTTTATTTCGCTTTTTTTAATAATTAAAGGTTTAAAGTGAAATAAAAACTAAACTAAAAGATGGACTTAAATGTGTATGGGCAATTATTCTTGGAGGCGAGCAAAATACTAAATATGATTTTTCGGCGCAAATTTTAGGATCACAATTATAGGGTCCGAAAAATCCCTGTCCGCCTTCGAAAATAAAAAAGTTTTTTGGCAAATATTATTAAAAATAGCCAAAAGATCCAAAGATATATTATATATTAAGAATTAGATTAAGTTTAATTGTATTTGATCAAGAAAAACCCAAACTTTCTCTATTATTACACGAAAATAAATTGATAGAGTTAACCCATCTGAAAGAATTCCAGGAAAATCGTCTGAGCGAGCTCGATTTTCATTGTCGTTGAGATTGAACAAGCTTTCAGATTCTGATAATATCCACACGTGTTCTTTGATGAACAAGATGTTCCGCTTCCGCTTCTCCTTCGATGCTCTGAGGAGGCGGATGTATCGTCATCTTTATGTATGTGTTGGACCCTTTTGCTAGGTAGCCGGGGTTGATGCAGATTACTTTGTCGATGACCTGGTTATGTTCATTATGGTGGTTGAGTATTTGTATCAGATGGATTGTAAATAGTTGACTAGCATAGATCTACCTTTGCAAAATATTTTAGTTTCGAAGGTAACACGAGCACGTCAGGCGTATATAACAAGTCGAGACTGGACCAATGTTTTAGATCCAAATTTGCTCCGGCCGATGGTGGAAATAACGGATAAAGGCTAAAAATGTGACCTATTATTAACATTTGTCGATTACAGAAATCCCGGTGTAATGTAATATCGAAGAAACACCGATACTCACTGTCTCTGCGTTAATATATGACGAGATATTTCTGAGACGCGTTCACTCCTGCTCATTCTAACGAAAGATCGAAATCATTATTTTTAGCATCGCCGAAATTGAAAAAATTTTCTCCTTACTTTTCGGTCTCATCTTGAAAAAGATGACATAAAACGTCGATATTGCTAATAGCGAAAACGATTTCATTCACTCGAAATTGAACGGGATTGGAAAGACATGTGATGCCCTATTGTAAACATATCATCAATTCACACCAATTTGGAACAATCGTTTGGAATAAAACAAACCTCCACAATTCCTGATCTGCCAAATGGTGGTTGCGGGAAGGCTATGTGATTATGAAATACATCTTTTATGCTAGGAATCATGACCACCTTTACCGTTGGCGTACTCCGGGTAAACGCATACAGCATAGGATTTATTTTCCTCGCAAAAATTTCTCCTGGAGTCATATCCATTTCACCCGCTTGAATCAAGGAATGATCCTCATCGACGAATGGACCCATCTTACAATCGATGTTATAATTTTTAGCACATCCGGTTCCTTCGAACTAAATTAAGTAGGTAACAATCTTAAAAAGCATAATCACCAAGAGTAAGACGTCCGGCTTCTCCACCGACATTTTATTTAGGAGTTCACGTAACGGATCAAATTTAAATTCGCCATCTAACGTATATGGGCCCGAAGAAATTACCACATTCAATGGTCTTCCGTTTAACTTTGTAGGCCCATAATAATCTTTGATTATATTGGGCGAAGTACGGCACATTGGTAACCGGGGTACCTTTGAAAAAAAGATGAATCTACAGTAAGCGAGGATAATGAAATCGGATTCACGATATGTGCGATAACTTTACCTCCAGAATCTTGGATACATTTATCTCTGATCCAAAATTGTTTGTTCCCTGAATCCCTACGATCTAAATCACGCGAAAAATTATGACAAGGATTAATTAATATAATATAATTGATGTGTGCGAAAATATGGAAATAACCCGTCGTCACACCTGTCCGGGAAAAAGCGCGTACGATGAAAGGTTATTTATCGCTAATTTTACCCTTTTCCCACCGAAATACGGTAAGGATTCTAGTATCACTGATTCGGGGTTAAGCTTTCCCTCCGAATCGCAGCATATTCTACCCACGGTGGATATTTCACTCTACACGATAGATTCTGCGTGAGCGATTGTCAAAGGAAGTGATAAGGATAATAGCTCTTACTTGACTCGGTAGTGACGGATCAGATATGTCGATCTCGTGATGGTTACATATAGCTTCCGCGAGGTTTTCCATTCGTTCAATTAAAGCTGGTTTTGCCAAGTCAAAAGAATTAAGTTGATTCGCCGGAAGTTTTTTATGAATGAATATAATGTACCTTCATATTTTTCATTCAATGTTTGGTGCATATACTTATAGACTTCCATTTGTTGCCTCGGCAATACCGTAATGATGCATGGATTATTTGTTATTCCACTGTTGTCTGATAGGCTCAAGCTAGGATTCAAAGTCCCAAGAGTTTTTCCTTTATTCTTTCGGTCATGGAAATTTGAAGTTGCAGGACTGTTCTTGGCATAATCATCCAACCTAAAAAAGAGTCGATGTTTTTAAGGCCCCTTACATTTCGCTCGGAGAGTTAACGCGAGTTTACGCGTTTAAACCACACAAAGGATACAAGCTGCCAACGGAATTCTTATCATATATAATTCGTTGCGGAACTGCTGTTTGCAAGCTGCTGCTGTCTTGCTGTTCCATAGGTCAAATGCTGATAAACGGAAATTTTTAGCGCAAGGGACGCGACTTTAAAATCTGCGTGTCACATGATCTGATATTCCGGATTATCGGTCCTAGCCTCATTAATTTTCAGGCTTTTTGCTAACGTCGCGTAAACCCGAGGGAATTCTTCGGAAGAACCCACGTTAACGTTACATTCCTTCTTTGGCTGTGGAATTTTTTTTTGATGTCAGTTTTTGTAAGATTAGAAAAAAGTTGGCAAGTTCAAGATTATTTTATTTGATGAATAAATATTGTAAAGAATAAACCATATAAACCATATTATATATGATTAATGTATATATCACTATATATACTGTATATATATATACTGTAACTATGTACTGTACATATATAACTATGTATATAACTATGTGTATATATAACTATGTATATACTGTAAGTATATGGTATGCGATTCGTTATAAATGTATGAACAAGCTAGTCAAATGGTTTTATAATAGCTAATCTTAAACTTGTGCTGTCTATAAAAAATAGGCATTGCAAAAAAAAGACTTGAACATATAATATTCATATGATTGTATTGTTTTGTAATTTCGATCATTCGATTATGTTCCAATATTATGATATTTTAAATTTATCTTTTAAGGGTAAAATAATTTTCACGCAGTCCTTTCTACTACATGCGCATCTATTATTACGTCTGATATGTTCAATAGTTTGCTGTAAATGCGTAAGTTGATAAATGCGCAAGTTGCAACGGCAACAGCGTACAAATGTTGGGGTCGCAGGAGTAGGAAGATTCCACATGATTCACGCCCATTTTGGATGCGAATATTTCAGGGTCATTTTTTATGGAAGGGAAGAAATTGTGGCAAGCTGTAGAACATTTTACTTGGGTTTGCCCTTTAGGTATCATTGGTGAAGGTAATTTGCGATGATCTAACCGCAATTGCTTTAGTACTAAACGTGCTTCCGAATTATCAGTCCATTATCATACTGTCGCCTGAAATTATCATGTTGCGATCTGCGCAAAACATCCAATCGTTTTGTCATCACTTTTTTTTTCTTGTTAAGCAATAAATATGATATAAAATCTGGTCCCTCTCGAATACGTTTACATGAAAAAAAAAAAAAAAAAAAAAAAAAAAAATATATATATATATATATATATATATATAGATATATTCAATGATGTTGTCGTTGTGAGTTGTTTCTTCCTTCAGTGAAATTAGTAATTTGAAAGGTGGAGGCAGAATTGCTTGTTAAATCATACGGTCAATTAATATACATATAATCCGTTACCTCATTCCTAAATATTTACATACCCATCTATCTTATCAATTTCCCGCGCGTGCTTCAAAAAAAAAAAAAAAAAAAAAAATCAAAATCAAAAGAAGGATATCAGGCCAGACTACAGGGTCTCTTGTGGTTTTCCTGCTTTAAAGGTACGTCAAAACGTGAATGTGGTGAGCATGCCAACTCGCATGATGAATACACATCATTTTAGCTCAATCAGCACGCGTGATAGACAAATAGATGAATGCCTATTTGCAGTTACATCATCCCTGGAATTTTTTGCGCATGCTTTCGTGCATGAAATGTGAAATGCTGAACACCACCAGTACGAGAAAATCAATTGATTACGTAATTTGATACTTTTGATCTAATATAAACTGGTCAAGCTTTTTTGGTCTTCTATTCATTGATGGTTGCGAGTGAACGATTTATTTTGACGATAAAGTCTCTATACCCATTCATCCACTATTTTATCGATGCAAACATTCGATCACCAATAAAGAAGTAGAGGAAATACATATTTATTCGGTCACCTACATATTTATCTATTTATTTATTCACATCCTACACCAAAATTCCTTTTCATAGAAGAGTCTAAATCGTTGAGCTCGTTTTTGCTCGGATAAGATGTTTCAATACTTTCAAAACAAAATCTGGTCACCTCAAACCTCCCCCAAACTTCAACCTGAGGACGCACCAATAGATGTCTATCAGGACGAAAGCGACATACCATATCTTGCCGAGGTGGACCAAGGCGGAACGGTGTATCGCGCAATGCCCGTAGATCCGTACACACAGGATGAACAACTTCCAAAGGAGGTGCAATTTAATCTGGACGGTGAAAATCAAGATAAAGTCGTATTGGTACCGGGGTTTTTTGGATGCGATATTGTTGAAATAACTTTACCCTTTACTAGTGGCAAAACTTGGACCATAGTGGATTATTGGAGCGATGTCAGGGACGTGATCGAAGATCCTCTTGTCGTTAGTCCCAGTTCATTTGGTGTAAGTCTCTTTCTCTATACTGAATGATTCCGCAGCATGAGAAGTCATGCGGTGATTGACGCAAATTTTAAACGCAGTCTGTCCACGATCGTGCAGTGGAAATTTTTTACCAAATCAAGGGTGGTCAGGTGGTGTGTGTCTTGAAATAATGTTACTGAATCGATGTCATTCAATAGGGTACCTAATTTTTCACCTTCTCCACAGGACTACGGATCCGACCATTCTCATCAATTTGGTCATAAGCAGCTGGGCGTCACATATGAGGGTTTAATTCCGGACTGGAGTCCTGAAAATCCGATAGTCCTGATCGGTAAAGTCAATACTCACTCATTTTTTTTTTTTTAATCTATCCACCTATGCATGTGTATTTACTTATTTATATATTTATTGTTATTCCTACTTCTTACTCATGTTTTCACACTCCTCAAAACTACTCATTCAGGCAAGGGATATGGTGCAACGACGATTCTTCATCTCCAACATCTCCTCTCGACAAACTTCTTCGGTCAACAGACCTCCGGTAAAATGATCAAAGGTGTGATCTGCCTATCGGCTCCCCATCGTGGTTCCACACTTCCATACTACCTCGGCTTTGAATCCGGTTCAAAACGCATCGTCCATCCACTATCACTTCTTCAATTATTATTGTCGCTCATTCACCTCATCTGCTATTTTGCGTGCCTCTCGCGGCTATTCGATTTCCAATTGAGGGATCAATGGAACCTTTCATCCAAGTCCGAGGGCGGTGAACAATCATTGTGGAGTGCCATAACAGCTCGTAGTAAGTTCTCTCGTCTCGGAGATAATTTCCTGTTAGATTGGTCGGCGGAGGGAGCTCGAAAACGATACGCCGGCGACGTTAGGCATCAGTTGGACGGTCATTGCTTCTACATCAATTACATAACAACAGGATATTCATGGATATCAAGAATAACGGGTCACTACTGGGTAATTGCTTTATATCTATTTCAAGTGTCGACTAACTTTTGTGGCATCGTCTCATAGTGACACCTTTTTGTGCTCTTATCTTGATGTTAGCCAAGATTGTCATGGGAAAACTTATCAACCGCTTTTCTCTCCGCCCGTCTTGGTCAACTGAAACTGGATGAACAAGTCCTGCGAACCTCCTCATCAAATTTCTGGCAGAACGACGGTGTCCTACCTGTTTACAGTCAACTTCCCCCCCCTCATCAACATGTGCTCATGAACATTTCGCTAGATGATGAAACCTACGATCCCGTGAAACGTGAACTCCAGCCCGGGGTTTGGTACAATGTTTACGTCGAGGACCGAAAGAAAACCCTTCTGTTCAACAACGATCCATTTTTAACCTCCCTCCCTTTGATCGAGGATATATTAAAATTGTCTTGCGTTAAGAGGGTAAACGAATTCCTTTCTGCAAACACCGAAAATTTTGAATATTATTACATCCGTGGCGTTGAAACTTCGGAACGTTTGATGATGATGATAATGAACAAATTATTTGTCCATGGGGCAGGGGACATCAACAAGCACCTAGCGGAGATGACATATTTCTCATCGAAATCCGCATCGCCATCATCGTCATCATATATTTCCCAACGTGTTGTTAAACGATCGAGCGACAAGGCAGGCCTGGAGTGGATTAACAAGATCGAAACCATTGAACTAATGAACAGCCCGACGAGATTAATCTACTGGATGAATCAGATGCAAAAGATGCGGACAAACTCGGAGGATGCTGATGTCGACGAGAAGAATGGTGGAACTTTATTCTCGTCGTCGTCGACCATGCAAGGTTCCATGTTCTTACATAGCCGACGTAAAATGACCACCGATGATTATAAGGCTACAATGATTCCTACAGAAAAAAGATATATAAGTTGAGTCTTTGTCCATTGATAGCAATAATTTACTTAGTAATTGGGATGACATCGTGTAGTAGCATTTAATTCATTATTAATAAAATTTTCACCATCTATTACAAGGGGGAGGCAATAAATAGGATTCACATTCATTTGTTTATATATTACATGTGTATACCTGTCGCTCCTTTGGTAGCAAAACTTTTTTTTTTTCTAATAGCACATCCCCTTATCATTAAAACAACAAAAGAAATCTTTATTTAGAATAATATAAACTCTCTAATAAATTTCGTAATTGTTAAAAAGCAAAAGAGTAATTGATCAGTATCTTCAATGTATATAGCTGATACGATTAAATAAAAAGGAAAATCGTTTGTGAGATTTAAACCATAAAGAAAATGTTACCGATGATGACGTTTTTTATCATGATGTACGAGTACAAAACATTATTATAATGAGGTGAGAACATTGTAACTATATCGAGAAAAAACTACAGTCGCTAATCGAGAGTGAACTTTACATTACTTCAACTTCTACAACATAATACTACAGTAAATATATAATAATAATTATAAATCGATACATTACCATATATATATATACAGTAAATATGCATATGCTGTATATATATATATATATATTTATATATATTCTTTTTTTGTTTTTTTTTTGTTTTTTTTTTTTGTTTTTTAAATAGGAGTCAACTTGTTACTCTTAATGCTCTCGGGCATGCGAAGTTGATAATCTGAGATGAGCAAAACAGCATTCAATGGTTGATGTCCACGAGGTGAAAACGCGAGAGGACGAATTTTCGTGATAGCACTCACCTCCATTCTGCGTGATGTATCTCACCCAGGGTAATGCCTGATATCCGCTTTTCTCCACAATTTTTAGATAACGGACTTGAATTCCGGAAGTGGTGAAATATGGAATCTCAAATTTGACGCCGATAGGTGGTTTCTTATCGGGGTCGTCCACTAAGTAGATAATTTTTTCGTGTTTCACTGTTACCCGGAAACCAAACTGTCGTGTAAAGCAGAGATTATGAAATAGAAACTGGGGGACGGAGCTCACCGTTTTTTACCGATGGCAGTCCAAAATGTGCGCGCATCAAGAATTCCTTTCCACCTTGGAATTGTTTGATTTTCCACACGAGACACGACTTCTCGGGTGCATAGTGAACCGTGCCAATGCTACTCTATTTGTTATTGGCGTGTAAACATTGAATATCTTTAGTGCAAATTCTTACGAGGAAATTATGAAAGAGACGGTCATTCATACTCTAAACTTTGGAGAGTCCGCATCGTCGGGCACCGGAACATATATTTCAACATTGTTGGCCGTTGAGCGTCGCTTAAACTGAGCTTTCGCCTTGATCATGTACTCGATCCTAAATCCAGTGTAATTCTCCACGAGCGCCTCAACCCAGATCAGTGGCTTGACCTATTTTTTTTTTTGTTATTATTTATTTATTATTCAAAGCCGATACGTTTAAATCTCGTTTCAAATTTCCAGTTTCTAAATTCGCCAATATTGGTGCACGCTTTCACCTGTGTATTTAACCGGTAGCTCATCAATTCAAATTCACCGTCCGGGGGTATAAAAGAGATGGTGCGATCGTTCTCAAATCGCGATAGACGAACACACTGGTGGAATTTGACATCTTCCATTTCAATTGCTTTCCCTCGCGTAGGCGAACGACCGGTACTTTCAAACATGACCTTGTCATTTAGACCAAGTCTCAACTCCGGCATGCCGCTCAGGTAACACTTCATCTTAATTATTCCAAGAATTTCGCTACGCAGCACATTTCCATTAGCGTTAACCAACAGATTGACGGACTCAATGACATCCAAAAAAACTTCGTTCTTTCGATATTTTATTCCCTCCGAACGCCACGAAACTGCATTCGTCACAGCCGACGGTGGACGAACTTGAATCTCCAATTTATGTGACTCTTGAGTTATATACCTATTTTATGTTAAAAAAAAAAAAAAAAAAAAAAAAAAAAATTGGTAGCGTTATCCTATGCGGCGCTAATCCTTAAATCCAGATTTTACCCGAGTTAGATCGCGTCAAGTAAAAATTCAAAGCTCTTACTCTTGCAATATTCTGGTTTCGGTGGTCTGAGGATATCCAAAATCCATCATCTCATCAAGCAATTCATAAATAATGACAAAATTATCTCGAATCGATTCCTCCTCGAGCTCTTTAAAATATTCGGTAAAAACCTATGGATTTTTGTTTGATTCAATATGTCGACGTGATGATTTATATAATAATGTTCTGTATATCAGTATTTTTGATCCTCACTGATGTGCATACCTCTGTCAGCCTGTGAAGGAACAACAAAATCATTGTTGCGTTGGAATTCTTCTTCGTTAATGCCAGCACTGCTTGGATTTGAATAAGTAGAACAGAGGATTAAGGAAAAATTAATAAAACTTTAATTATCCCGAGGAATCCTACGGGAAAGGATCATTTGGGTAGACCGGTCGACTGTCGAGTTCCATTTGAGGTAAACCAATTCGTTCTTTTTTTTTTTTTTAATTCAGTTTGTCGACTCATCAAATTCTCAACACGAACGATTTTCAAGAGGACAACACAAGATTCTTCCGCACAGATCTCTCCCTTGTGATCCGACAAGAAGGATACAGTACAAGTTATTGTGACGTATGTATAGGTAATTTACGCCCTCGTGAGTAAAACAAGGAGTTGGTGCCTGCTGTTCTTCCTCAGCCTCCAATACCAGAGGCATAAATTTTTCAACGGCCGACATCGGAATGTCACCGCGATAATTCCGGGAGATAAGCACCTTTCCCTTCAAATCGAGTACAAACACTGCTGATGCCATCTTACTTCTTGTCCACTTTTCGCGCTTCTAGGGATGCTAACTTTTTTAAATGCATACGTAAAAAAAAGTTTGGGTGATTGCATTGCGCATAACTCCCGCCAATCAGATCATTCCTTATAACAGCGCGCCGATGATTGATGATTTTCTTGATCTTTTTTTAATACTGGATCAAATTTCATAAGATGTCGTCTTCTGGAGTCATTCTGAAAGCCGGCATACTTGGTGCGACCGGCACGGTCGGACAGAGATTCATTTCATTACTTTCCAAGCACCCCTTCTTCACGATTCACGTTATTGGGGCTTCTTCACGTTCCGCCGGAAAAGAGTATTCTAAAGTTGCAAAATGGAAAATGACCACAACTCTACCCGCCGAAGTTGGAGATATGGTAATCCAGGAGTGTAAACCCGAGTTGTTTGTAGAATGCGATGTGATATTTTCGGGTTTGGATTCCGACGTTGCTGGTGAAATTGGTGAAGCATTGTTGTAAAGAACTATATGAGGAGTTAGCATTGCGCGATGAAAGAGTTTAAAATATTTATCTTCTTTATTGCCAACCCAGAGACATCTTTCCTCAAAGCTGATCTAGTAGTGTTCTCTAATGCCAAAAATCACCGTCGTGATCCAGTAGTTCCGCTCATTGTGCCTACCGTGAATCCTTCACATTTTAATTTAATCCCGCACCAAAGGTCTTTGCACTCGCTTCGCAAAGGTTTCATTGTCACGAACGCGAATTGTTCCACGACAGGTCTCGTGGTAGCCCTGAAACCTCTTCAGGATGCATTCGGACCCATCGAGGCTGTCATCGTTCAAACAATGCAAGCTATTTCTGGAGCTGGCTATCCTGGCGTGGCGTCGCTTGACATTTTCGACAATGTCATCCCCTTCATCAGCGGCGAGGAGGAGAAGATGGAGTATGAGACACTTAAAATTTTGGGAGATGTTAACGAAACGGCTACCGGGTTCAATATGCTTTCTTTCACAAAAGTCTCGGCCTATTGTAACCGTGTGCCAGTGATCGATGGACACACCGAATGTGTTTCTATTAAATTTAAAAATCGACCGCCTCCATCGGTGGAACAGGTCACCCAAGCTTTGGATTCATATGTGTCCGAGTCGCAACTAATCGGCTGTTATTCGGCTCCCAAAAAATCGATAATTGTAACCGCAGATCAAGATCGACCGCAACCGCGATTGGATAGGGACAATGGTGACGGCTACAGTGTCACCGTGGGAAGGGTTAGAGAGTGCAACGTACTTGATGTTAAATTCACTCTGCTTGTACATAACACTATTTTAGGCGCGGCAGGAAGTGGAATATTAAATGCCGAAATTGCACTGGCAAAAGGATTATTAAAAGTTGAATCCTGATAATTATCTTAAATGACGTTTTTAGATTTTTTTTTCTCTTTCTTTATTAACTAATTATAAGAGTTAGACAGTCCAGCTCAGAAGCACATATAACAAAAAATAAAATTGATTAAATAGAATCATTACAAGGGATAAGGAGAGAAAGTGCGAATTCATAATCATATTCCTCCGTGAGTTTGATCAAATAAGTGATGGGTTCGATTAATTCGTCAAGGTAAAAAAAAAAGTTAGGTCTAAGCGTTCCACTAAAATTTACAAACATGAAAAATAACAAGAATGACATCGAGGTCATTTTGATCAGCGCCATTAGGTGATGGGTATTCGGAACGAAAGGAAATATAAAAGAAAGATTGTAATTACCTTTTTGGCCACCATACCCTCGGGCGGTTTCGTCTCCACCTTGCCCTTGCTGACCTCATTCCAATTTGTGCTTAGACATGTGCCATTGCTCTCGGTGTAGCTTTTCAACATTGCCTTCCTTGTATCGTCATCCGCATCACGATAGAGTTGTTGGAACAGTGAATTCAAGGCCGCGTCCCCTTCAGGTTTTTCATCTTGCTCACCGCCAATCTCTTTCTCCAGACTGTCCCAATTTTTGGCGTGCTTCGCCGACGACGGATAAGATAGCTTACCTGATTCGGTTATAAAAGATAGTTGATAAATGTCGTAGATCAAATTCCATAATCTCACCAAATTTAATTATAAACGGACCACTGGCCGTTGAGATTGATCCGAAAACCGAATCCTCTCCTTCCAGAACACCCCACTTGATTCCGACTTGTGCTTTTTTGAGCTTGATTTCAATTTTGGTGGATAACACTTCATATTTGGATTCTTTCGGATTAATTTCGTGCGCGAGCGGATCGAGTTCCAGAGAATAGTCAGATCCGGTGGGTAACTTAATGGTCACCGATACCTATAAAACAGTGGTGTCGATGTTCACAGAATGATTGGTAAATTTCGAATTCAAGTGCACGCTTGATCCCTATCGAAGAATTGATTTTACCGATCGATCTGCAAAGTAAACGTTGACTTTTTCTTTATTCACATTTTTTATAAAAATGCTGATGATAATAAAGTTTTCGTTCTGAAACCATTCGTGTCTATTTTAAATGAATGCGAAAATTTCAGTATAGTTAATGATGTCGAGATGCAATCACTTTTTTACTTACCTGACGCGACTCTGGGATAAGAATGATGATGAACCTGTGCCGCTGTTTTTCGTAACATCTGATGGCGGCGTGGGCTTTGGCGCTACTACACACAATTATTAAATAAAATACAGTTGTTATTCAAGTTGTCTCACTAAAACGAATGGTAAAACATTTATCGTACTTTTCTCTAATTGCGTCTCGGTCTTTTTCAACCACGTGTCCAATGACTTCTCGTTGAAATTTAATTTTTTGGATTGATCAAAGGAGGTTTTTGCTGCTTGATACTCCTTGAGCTCGAACTGTGCGATACTTGGAAAGATAGGTGATGTCGGAAGAAAGGTTACCACACGGCTGCATTACGCGATGCTCCTTAGTTCGCAAGTGCACAAGAAGAAGCACATTCTCACCCCTTCCTAAGCCATGCTTTAGCAGCCACAGCCTCTTGTTCTTCTTTTCCTACGATCAAACTTAAGGCCCTTTCGGCGTCAGCTAATGACTCCTTATTACTTTTGATCTTCTGAAAGGTGGCGGACCTTGAATTTTCGGTCGTTTCTGGTCAATACTTATAGTCAAGTCGTTTCGTGAAAAATGCTCGCGATTTACCTTTTAAGTAGGTATTCGGGGTTCGTCGCGTCCAAGTCAATGGCCTTACTGTAAAACTCCAGAGCCTCGTCATAGTCGTCCTCAAAAAAAGCATCGTTAGCTTTCTTATAAAATTCTTCGGCAGTAGACATATTTGTTAGAATGGCGTGTATGTGTGTGTGAAATCATCAATTTATTAAAAAATTTGTGGTTAACTCGGAAACTTCTAGAAAGATCTTTTATTATGGGAACGGTAATACGTAAAAATCGGAGATGACTGAATATTCGCAATCGATCCAGTCAGAATTAAATGTAAATTTATTTAGCGGATTATAAATAATAATCGTATGATTTATAGAATAAAATTCTAATTCACAAAGCAAAAAAATTTTAATGTCCCATCGGATTAGATTTATAAAATGTACAATTCTGGAATTCCAGAAGATAGAAAAGTTAGCCAAAATATTTGGAAAATAGAAAAACGGTCAGCGCTATCATTGTGGAAAGCCATAGCAAAGGATTCCATATAGATTTTGATGGTTCGGTGGTCAACTTAATTAGGAGGTTCTCGAGGGAAGCAGTAAAAACTTCCAAAGAGAAGGATTTTTGTACGTGTACTCTTCCTCTCTCCCCCATTGCCTTACGGTCATATTCGCCGTTAACAAAAGCGGCCATTGCTTCGGCAAACGCCATCGGTCTAGGCTGACTGAGAACACCGGTCTCACCATCACGAATGGTTTCCTTTGGCCCACCGCTATTGCATGAGATTACTGGCAGCCTAGAGTACATAGCTTCGATGGGTGTAATTCCGAAATGTTCATTTTCTGGTGTGTACAAAAGGCAGAGCGCCTTCGACAATAAATATGTTCTTTGCGCCTCGTTAAAAGAGCACAAAAAGACCACCTGAGTTGTTTCAGGTGGAGCCTTGGATGAATCAGGCATGATTGTGTAAGTTTTAAGTCCACATTGCAAGGCTACCTTGTTCAGCTCGGAGTGATGTTCTACGTTTTCCTGAACGCGGTAGTCATAGCCACCTAAAATATTTTAGATGGGCAATCGGAATTCATTCACTTGCAGACCCTTAAGCCACCAGATGCACGTAAGAAGTCTAACTTACCGGCAATGATTAACCGCATGTTCTCAAAACTGGTCGGGTCCACCATCTTGTCATCCCGCAACCATGCAAATGCGCGTATGGCAATAACAATATTCTTTTTCCTTTCGAATCGGTTGATCGACAGGATAACCGTTTTCGAACTACATAAATATATAATCAAATTAAATATCAAGACTATTTCCCCTGCAATGGAGGGCGCATTCAATCACTCACGTCTCTAGGACCTTAACAGATTCATTATTATTATCGACCTTTCTATCATATGTTTCAAGGTGAATTCCGGGGTAGAGGACTTGCGGCGGATTCCCGATGTTAAAGGATTGACAGAATACGTTTGAGGTAAATTTACTATTTACAACCACACAATCCGCCATTCCTAAAAAAGCAACAGCATAGTCACGTGAAACATGATTTTGATTTTGATGCGTCGCGCCAAATGTCAAGTGCTTACCGGTTGTCAATCCCTCTATGAAATCGATTGGAATTCTGTATAGGTTTTTCAAGGTTGTATCTCGTTGCGTCAACAATTTATCTGGAAAATGACAGTAGAACAAAACCTTGAGAATTTTGGAAGAAAAGAAAACAGAAAGGTTAACGCACAGTCGCAACATATAAACATAACGCAATTTGTTATTACCTTTGCGCCGGTCATCCTCAGCAGGGGAATGCAGGCCGATAATTGATCGACGAATATCACATCATAGCGTTCCCTATCGCCAATAATCATCGACAGAGTCAAGTGCAATTGTCGTAGGATGGCGCACACCATATAAAAGGATCCACTGAATGTTCTTGGAATAATGGTATTCCCACGTACTCTGACCTGAAGTGTACCTGAAAGGGAAATCAAAAAATAACGACGTTATCATTCATCTTTCAAGGACGAACGAGGGAAAGCGGAAATGGCATAAACCGTCTTTTGTTTCTGCAAAACAGCGTTCGGTGTCGTGATGTGACGTGTAAACAACAACATTATGCCCTCTGGATTTCAAGCCTTTAGCCGCGTCCACCACAAGGCGTTCCGCCCCACCTATTTTAAATGAGTGAGTCAGAAACAGTTGGATAACGCGAAAAGAAAAAAAAAAAAAACTTTAATCGATACGTCACCTATGCCGAGATCTGGGTGAACAAAAGCAACCTTTAGAGATTTCGTTGAGGTCATTTTCACTGACAGGATTGCGAAAAATTTTTATTTATTATCAGAGAAGGTAATCAAAATGTTAAATTTAAAGAAAGAGCTTGTATTTATAAAGAAAAACCATTCATAATTGCTATGAATGCAAATAACACGCTCGCACGTTATTTTCGTCCTCGTGTTCCGTTAAAATTGTGTTGTGTAACCATTACGTTTCATTGGTGCCTAAAACTACGAAAAAAGAAGCCGGATCACAAGGTAATTAATGACAACCCGTTTTTATTTTATTATAATGTTTTTTTTTTTTTTTTTAACATTTACACTATGTAGATAATAACGTGCAGGGAAATAATGACGTGATGAAAATGGAAAAAGAATTTTAATGCGAACATGAAAACCCCAAAAACGTACATTATAATGATGCGTATAGGCGATCCTACCAGAATCTTGGAGAGGAAAAATGTCTAAATTAATACTCTGCGCACGGGATGTCCGCGATTTTTAAAGTTAGGATTATGGATTCTAACTAGAATGTGCCATTCTAATACTAAAGTGAGTCAGTGAAATAGGGGCAAAGGGACAATCTCAAAGTCGATCACGGTGCAAGTTCCCTAAATTTTCAAATTCCCTTTCTTTTAGAAGCAACATTTCATTTAACCTCCTCCAATTCAACCAAAACGCCACCGCAATCTCTTGGATGTAAAAATACAACGGGATTACCGTGCGCACCAATTTTTGGCTCGGGATCCAAAATCCTAATCTCCTTCAGGGTCAAATCTTTCACAGCCTCTTTAATATCGTCAACCTTTTTGTGTAAATCATGTAAAGTAAATAAATGCGTGCGTGTTACGAAACGTTGTGCCAAAAAGAATTTCTCATAAAACATGCCTCAATGCATATATGGTGAATTCCACCCATTTTATTTTTTTCAAGGAAATGTTTTATTGGTGATTTATCGCCATATGGATGCAAAAGTTCAATTTTTGTGTTACCCAGATTCACGAAAACCGTATATACTCCATGTTCCGGTTGCGGCTGTGATAATCATGTAAGAAAATGCAATCATCGTTGCTATATAACACACCAAGGAATTAGCTTACCACGGCATCACTAACGTCGTGTGCCCCTAACATGTTCTTATAAAAGTCAGTGGCCTTTTTAAGATCTGGTACAGCTACGGCTACGTGATTTAAACGACCCAATTTCCATACTTCATGATCCTAAAAACCACGCCAACCATAAGAAAATCTTTCAGTTGCAAAAAAGCAAGAACTGTTAGAGATTACCGCAGGTAACCCGGCGGAAGAAGCCATATAACGATGTGAAATTCCGGGCATTCGTGTTATCTGGGAAGAGTATCTCGCGGAAAGTGGTGATGATACGCTCAAGTTTCTGGCTACATTAAATTTCGCATTATCAAGAACAATCATCGGTGTCTTTTTAAAAAACCTAAGAAAAGACATTTTTTTTTTTTTTTCCGCGAAAATTGGGCTTGAAAAGATTACTACTTTGCACCATTTATATTTTCCAAAAAATTTCTACCGTCACGCGGTTATCAATTAGTACAAATTACACGGTAGAGTCATACGACAAAGAAAGAGCCAATTGGAAATGTTTCAGTAATAACAATCGCGTGATTGATAGTTCATTGTTGGTACATTACGTATTGTAACGGTGGCTTATTGGCTGTTTGGGTCATGGGCCGACGGTATGATCGGCAAACGTGAACTAATTTTAAACTTGTCCGTATTCAAAACGTGAGAAAAAAATTATTTTTTTTTTTTTTTTCCTTAATCAAATTAGATATGTGTACTTATTAAATACTTGTATACTTTATATTATTAAATGTTTCACTAAAATTAAATTTCTACTTAACTCACTCATCTTTGTTTTAAATTTCTTAAAACTCTAAGTTCAACTTTGAAAGTGATTTATTATTTTATTAGTAGTTCAGATAAAAATCCTTTCAACTGTTAACTTCATTATTTGCAGATCACTATTATAAATTATTCTTTGATATTCTTTTTTTTTTTTTTTTTTTTTTTTTTTTTTTAAAAAAAAAAAACTGGCTTATCCTTGCTTTATTTATTAAAAAGTTTGTTGTTTACATTTGTTATGCATTTATAACTGACTCCTTATTACAAATTCAGCTATCTAAAGAAATCATGCTTTCTTACCGATCGGTCTGTTGCCACCCCGAGGGGACCTAACATGCCAAGGAGGTCATGTTAGTGTTGATAAAAAGAGAATAATGAATAATAGAAAAAATGTTTGTGTATCCTTTAAAGTGATTGTCGATGAAT